AGATGTTCCACTTTGATACGTAATGGGACATAGTCACTGACATTAATGCTTACGTCAATGCTTACATCTGTCCCAAGAGAGAGAGAGAGAGAGAGAGAGAAAGGGAAGAGGGAGGAGGAAAAGAGAGGAAAGTAAATTGCTTTGCATCGCCGTGCGGAGGAGAACTAAATCATATAGTCGGTTTTCATCAAAGAATTAAAACCTACGTACTATTTTCTCGTATAAAATCCCTACATTATTGATCACTATAACAATCACTAATTTATTTTTCAATTGTCAATCCTATTTTCATCTTCATCCCTTTTCCCCACACCCAACACATTTACATATTCGATTAATTCTATAAATAATTCCTTTTTTTATCTACAATAAACTTGTTAGATTATTTCTGCAAATTTGATTAAATCAATCGTAACGATTGATCATAATAAATTGATTGAAATAATAATTTGGCAAACTTTTTCAACACTATATATATATATATGTATAAAACTACATATATATATATATATTTTTTTTCTTTTTAATCTGTATGATATGACCATGACATATGTATCTAATTTTATATCATCAAAACATCGCCAAACCTGATAGTAATAAATATCTATAAATTACCACAAATTTTAATATTATGCAATATATATATATACAATTTTGAAAGATAATAATTTGCAAATTATGTCAATAAGATTTTGTATATTTGTTGACGAAAAAGAAAAGAAAAGACAAAAAAAATAAATTGAATACGAATAACAGATATGCTTGCATATAACATATAACATGGAAGTAAAAAACTTTCTCTCTCTCTTTCTACTATGTATATACTCGTATATATGTTATATACATATGGTTACGGCAAGAGGAAGAAGAAGAAGAAGAAGATATAGAAATAAAAGAAGGAATCGTCAGCGGTAGATGACGTAATTATTCAAGAAGGGGATTGACTCCCCAAATACGATGACGCACGATAATTTAGTATGCAGACGCCAAACGGCTTTCAATTTCGATTATAATGCAATGATGAACTTCCTTCTACTTGTTACTCATACGTCCTGATATATTATTTGACGAATTATTTAACTAACCATAATCAAAAACGACCATAATTTTCTATAATTTTTTCAGATTTTTTTTTAAATTAAATATATATATTTATATATAGTGTTAATAAAATTTATATCCAATATAAATAATTACCGTTACTATATGATAATTCAATATATTTTTGTTGATATTATATTTTATCAATTTCTATAAAAAAATTTATTATTAATTATTTTTTTTTTAATTTTATATTTAAAAGAACTTAAATTTTAATTAAAAAAAAAATTTTTTAAATATTTAAAAAATTATAATTTAATTTTATTTAAATTAAATTATTTTGGCAGTAAAGTGCATTAATTTTAGTATTTAATAATATATAAATATAAAGTAATAATAAAATATTATTAAATTAAAATAATATTATATAAATTAATATTAAAATAAAATATAATTATTTAATTATATTTAAATATTATTATTATTTTATGATATTAATATTATAATAAAATTATATTATTATTATATAATTATAGTAAAATTATAATATTAATAACATAAAAAAATATATATTAAATAATATAATTTATTATAATTATATATATTTTTCCCCTATTTCTTTTTCTAAAAAATTTGAAGATATATATATATATATATATATATATATATACATATCTATGTTTTTTTTAGAGATAAATAAAAATAAGGATAATAGGTATCTTTAAAAATGAAAATATCATGGTCGAAATATTATACATATATACATATATATATATAAGACTCTTTTAAAGATTATTTACGAAAGAGAAATACAAATAACGGAGAAATGTCGATTACGTAAGTAACATTGATAACAAAGTCTAACTATTGATAATAAAAATCCAATTGACGGATAAACGATGGATTCATGTAAATAGAAAACACATGTGTTTATTTATTTCGTAATAATTAATAGAACTCGACATAAAAAAGTAATCGAAAATTTCGGCAAAAAAACTATTATTCAAGACTAAAAGTTCTTCTTATTTAAAAAAAAAAAAAAATCAATCAACCAAAAGGAATTTGTCCACATTTTTTTTTTAGATAATTCAAAAATTGTTTTTTTAATTATAATATTATATTTTTTAAAATTATTTTTAACTATTGTATTATAGAAATTATATTAATTTTTTTTTATTCACTATGTTGACGATACTACGCGTGATAAACACGCGCATACATCTTACATCTGATAGATTATAAAAAAAAAATTCACACCACATTTTATTTAAGACCTAACAACCTAACAAGAAAAAAAACAGCCAACTGCGTAAGGTTAATTGAAAGAAGGAAATTATTTGTACAGGTGGACAAGTAAGTTGTTCTAGCGCCCACTAAGTTGGTTCGATACTTCTAAATATTCGAACATGATCGAGTGTCTCGACATATTATTATATAAAGTCATAAGAATTTTTTTTTACTTCTCTTTTCTTCACGATATCATTCTACTCCTCCTTCTTTATTTTTTGTCTCCTTTTACGTACGAATATACATCTAACTCATTTAATATTTGCAAAGATTAAGCGAAGCATAAAAAGAAACTGCTACCTTGTACAATATTTTCTTTCATACTTTGTTTCTCTCTTTTCTTTTCTTTCCTTTTTCTTTTTTGCTTTCTTTTTGTCTTCCTTCATACAACATGTTAAAATTACATTTGCGATAAAAAAAGTATACACGCTTCATTTTGTACGTTACGTAAAGTTTATCGAGAATGATAATATGTTCTTGCATTGAAAGAACATTTTTTTTTTAAAGAAAAAATAAAAAAAAAACAAATAAAAAAAAAGAAAAAAATAACACAAGTATCAACAGAACACTAAAAAATCATCCTTGTTGGTGCAAACATTTTTCTTTAATTTTTTTTATTTTTTTATTTTATTAATGGCAAAATAAGGAAATACGAATTCATTAAAAAAGAAATGTTATATACATATATATTAAAAATTACATAGAAATTATTTATATAATAATAATATATATTACAATATATATTTTTATATATATTATAAAATAAAATTTATATATAGTATATATATAGTAATTTATGTAGTAATATATACAGTAATATTATATTATTAAATTATAATATATATATTAAATACGAGACGAGTATATAATAAGAAAAAAAAAAAATAATTATCATAAAATGTCTAAAAGAATATAAATGCGCGTTAAAACAGTCATATAAATAATTATAGAAATAATTCATAAAAACGTTATACAAGAGTGTAATTTTTTGAACAGCAACGTGCAGATAAGAAGAAAGAGAAAAATAAGGAAAGAAATGATAGAAAAAAGAAACAAAAATATATATTAAATATTAGGTCACGCAAATCGATAACAGAAAAAAAAATACAATGATCAAAGAAATATAAAACGACTATAAATAATTAAACATAATATATATGTGTACATATTTATACCATAAGTTACAAATAACACACACGTGAAACACAACGAATGAAATAAAAGACTTATTGGAACAAAGTGTTACGTCAAGTGTATGCAGTCAATGTATAGGCGGGAAAATACGAAATGTCGTAAGAGTTATCGCTTTTGACAAATTGTACAAATTTTTCAAACTTGTTAAATATGTATACAAGTTATATGGTTGTACATCTTGAAAATACTGTTAGGGCATTCTAAAGAAACGCTCGTTAATTACGAATTACTACGAAGTACATACTATTACCGGTATACTACTACCGGACGAGATACAGTTCGTTTTAACATTTAAGTAAGTTATGTGTGTTAATAAAAACGTAAAACATTTCTAAGAAATTCTATCGTTCTCTCAGTAGTACGCTACTTAATTTAAACTTGTAAGTATACATATATATATATGTGATAAGTACATAAACACATGCATGCGTATATAGATAGACAGACGGACATACGAATGAATTGAAAGAACGTTACGTTTATTACGATGCATATTTAAGATATGTATGTATGTATATATGTATATATGATAATTGATTAATATCATATTTTATTCGATCTTTGAATTAATTCTGACGATGAATCGAGACACAATATGATAGTAACGATAACAAGTAACATATGTTATAATATCGTTTGAAAAATTGATTGGTAATTTTTAATATATAAATTAAATTATATTTGGATAATAATAATTAATTTTATAAATAATAATATTTATATTTTAATATATATGTATAAAAAATATTTAAATATATAATATTTTTTATATATAA